TCTTCGTGGCTGCAACGATTAACAAGTCAATTCTCCAATGTATCTACTGACACCAAAAAATAAATATTTGTTGATTATGACTTTTTGATTATGACAAAATCTCATTTAATTGATTATGACTTATCGATTATGACCAAATCTAATCTCAATGGTTATAATCAATCAATTTTGATTTGTCGATTAAACCATAAATTATTTTAATATAAAATTATGGCGACATATATATTTATATTTTATATTATTATTATTGTTATTGTTGTTGTTGTTGTTTGTTTTATTATAATGCAGGTTGTTTGTACCTATTTTCTAAAGTTGTATGTGGACAGAAATTTGGTGGTGATCTTGGCAATTCTTGGAATTCAAGTTGAAGTGTGTGGGGGCTAGAAAAGGGGAAATTATTTAATATTTTCAGAATAGTACGTGTGTATATTCTAAACCAATCACCAATTACTTAGCCCTATATTATTTTCCCATCACCAACATAAATAGTGGGCCCTTATGTTTTTTCACCAATCAAAACCTTATGAAGTATTACGTGTCCATATTTCAGGAGTACTGAATAATCACCCGTAGAAAAGAGAGTTGGAAGTAATTATAGACAATTGTGAGTAGTCAAGGAAATGGCTAGAAAGTTGGAAATAATCTTTGAAAGAGCGAAAGAAAGTGGCTAAAAAGATGAGAAAATATGAACTCAAAGAACCACGATCCCCTCTCTGAATTTTCTCCTTGACTTCTTATTTGGTGGATTATTAGGCCTATTTTTAGGCCTAATTTCGATGATCCGAACCGTTCACATTTAAGATTTGTTGATTATATCATACCTGTAAAAAATTAAGTTGATTAGATATCAGAAAGCATGTATTCGGAAAACTGTCTATTAAATTTTTTTTAAAAATGGTTTTTAGTTTGATGATCCGAACACATGTTTTCTAACATCCGATCAACTTGATTTTTTACAAGTATGATATACTTAATAAATCTTAAAATGTGATGGTTTGGAGTATCAAAATTGGGCCTAAAAATGAGCCTAATGACCCAATAAGTAGGAAGTCAAGGAAGGAAGTTATGGAGGGAATCCTAAAGAAACTAGCTATAGCAGTTGTTGAGCAATGAAAATCGTGGACAAAAGCCTATAAATAGGCTCAGGGAGGAAGCAAGAAAGAGGGAATAAAATATCAATTATCAGCACTCAATATGAGTTCAATTAGAAGTAGATTACTTTAACATATCTAAGAGTAGTTTTAATTTAGCATTTCTGTGATGGTTTTCTGTAGTAAACTTTTTTCTAGATCTTTTGTATTTTTGTTTTTTGTTCTTGTTCAAATTTTTGTAACAAATAACAATTTCAGTAATACAATATCAATTTTTAGTTTGTTTCTCTCTGTCGATAACCTCCAAAAAAGTTCTTGAATCTGTCAAGGCATAGGACACCAATCACGGTTGCTTGATCTATTTTTTGCTTGTAAAATTTTTGTCTCTGTTGAATCGCTTCTGTCGATTTGACCTAAACTAAATTTTTACTAACAGTATCCCCATGAAAATTGTGATTGGAATTAGTGCCAGTCAATTTGAGTCGAATAAAAAAAAAATTACTAATTAAATTATTATTGATAGATTGGAAAAAAAAAATTCAATCGTCACCAACTAGTCCATCTTTCAAAATCAATGAATTGAATATTTTGACAATTTTAAATCAAACATTTGTGCTGATTAGATGAATTACAAAATGGAATGAGAAAGTACACTAGTGAACATAGGCATTTACATTAAGAAGAAAAAATTGCAATGAAAATGAGGAGTTGGTATAATCAAATTAATAATAGTATAAGGTATTTTGCGTAGATATGTAAGTGGATAGATTAGTTTGTATACAAATTGATAAATTTTAAATGGTAAGCCAATTTGAGTTTTATTATTTAACTCATTCAATTTGGTTCACTTCCTTTCTCAAACAATATGAATTAGCTTGAATCGATTTAAATTGATGTAGGTTGGCCAATTAATTATTTTTTTCGCATACTCCTAATTGGGACACAAAGGATAGGACTAAAACAATGAAAAGATTATAAGATCAATTAGGAAAATTATGAATTTGGTTTCCAAAATATTTAGTTTTAAAATAAACAGTGTTACACCATTTTAAATCAAACTTCCATATAAAATTTTGTTTATGTATACCATTTTCCCATAAAAACAAAGTTTACAACAGGAGGGAAGCTTAATTCCTACACGAAACATTACAAAAACAATGCTTAATAGAGACTTTGCATCACATAACAAATCTTTTAGTCTAATCTAATTGTGAAAGCATAATCAATTACTCAAAACCAAATGTTTACACTTTGCTTGTTGAAAGCAATGACTCATAGGCATTAACAGGTCCTTTTCATTATTCTGCTCCCACTTTCAATTTGAATATTTATATATGTACAGTCATCAATCCTCCATTAACCCATTTTACAAAAACAGATTTTTATCAATCATTAATTTATTCACTGTTCATTTTTTATGCAAAATTGATTTGATCACATAGCTATCGATATCCGATTAACGTAATTTTTTACAGGCATATAGTACTCGACGAGTTATAACGGTTCAAATTATCAAAATAGAACCCGTAGTGAGTCCCCACAGACTCAACAATACGATCCAGCCTGATTAAGGACCGGAGAGAAGCCATGCCCTATATATATATAGTTTTTGTAATAAAATTTCGGTAGTGGTGGAACTGTTGTCATCCTGTCTTGAAAGTTGTCTTATTAGATGCACTTTTACAAGCTAAAAATTATAATAATCCAAGCACACAAATAATATATTTTCTCCCTAACATTTTAATAATTAAAATTAAAAAAAAAAAAAAAAAAACTGTTGTCATCCTGTCTTGAAAGTTGTCTTATTAGATGTACTTTTACAAGCTAAAAATTATAATAATCCAAGCACACAAATAATATATTTTCTCCCTAACATTTTAATTATTAAATTTTTTTTAAAAAAAAAAAAACATTCACATGCACTTAAGTTTGAAAAATGTTCTCGAAAGTTTTAATAGAACCAAACTACCGTTCTTTTTAGTAAGTCTAAAAGAATTAGAATTAAAATGAATGGTGTGAGGATACAACAGGAGTTAACATATAGATAACATCACATTTACATGATTAATAAATTAGTGATGAAAAAATAATTAAATGTTAGGACATTTATATACAAGTTTTAATTTATGAACTTATATTTCATTAGGTCCTAATTAAGATTTTTTAAACTTTCAAGTCCCATTAAATTTTTAATAATCAAAATTGTCCTTCAAACAATAATTATTCATCATTTATGGTTGTCTATAAAGAAATATGTTGATTTGACGTTTATTTTAATTTTTAAAATTTTAAAATATTAAATTTCAAATTAAAAAAAATAAAAAAAAATTATGTGCAAAAAAAATTGAAAATTGAAAAAATTGAATTATTATTATTTTATTTTTTTTGCAAAACTGAAAATTTTGTGTTTATAATGGAGCATGATGATGGAACATTGATGTTGAAAAAAAAAAGGCTTTAAAACTAAAAATAAAAAAATTGATAATATTTTTAGTTTTAAAACTAGAAAAAACAGATAATGTTCTTGATTTTATTGGATAGTTGAATCAAACTAATAAATAGAAGGGTAAAAACGTTTAATCTTATACTCTGTTTTTTATCAGTTAGTAAAACAATTATCTGGAACATTACCATATAAAATTGATAATATTCTCAGTTTTACTAAATAAGACTTATTGGTTCAAAATTTTTTAAATAAAACTTGAACTACCATAACATTTGTAAATAAGACTTTTAAATAATTAATTCTTAAATATTATGTGAATTAAAATTTTAACAGAAGCTTAATATAATTATGCTAAACTTATAGTAAGATAATATATTTTATTCAAATCTCCGGAGAGATTAGTACAATTCCTTTAGAAATTTTAACTTGTACAAGAATTGTAATAAGAAATTCGAGAAATATTAAAAAAGTAAAATGTTGTAAAGTGAGGTGAGTAAAACATTTAGGGGTTGTTTGGAGTGTCCTAAATAAGTGTATTTTTTATTTTTTTGGACTAAAAAATTAAGGAAGAAAATATAGATGTTTGGGTTAACTTTTTGACTTTTTACGGAAAACTGTTTAATAAAAAATTTTAAAAATTAATTTGTAGAGAAAAATTAGGATTGAGAGTTGTGCAGTCGTAATTGTTGACTTTTGGTGAATAGTGTTAACTTTTTAACTTTTTGAGTAACTTTTTAGCCTTTTGATTTTTTTGCAATATGTCAAATTTGGCCTTATTTTACGTAAATTATATGCAATTTCATGAATTTATAATTATTTTTTAAATTTTTAAATTTTTTATTATTCAGCCTAGGAAATTATATTCAACAATGTGACACACTTTTAATATAAAATAAAAAAAACATAAAACAGTGTATAAACTATACTGTTTTGGCATGAATTAATTAGAAAGAAAAATAAAAATAATAAAAAATTCCCCGAATGGAATAAAATAATAACTTACGTCTCACCTTGCGATTCAAGGTGGACCTGTTCAGAGCTAAGAGGACATTTAGGGATTTAGGGATTTTTTGGAGTGTCTTAAATAAGTGTATTTTTTGTTTTTTTAGATTAAAGAATTGAAGAAAAAAAATATAGATGTTTGGGTTAATTTTTGATTTTTATGAAAAAATGTATATTAAAAAATTGTATAAATTAATGTGTAGGAAAAAATTAGAATTGGGAGTTGTGCAGCCGTAATTTTTTACTTTTGGTGAATAGTAACGACTTTTTAAATTTTTGAGTAACTTTTTGATATTTTAGATTTTTCATGGGTTCCCAAACTTAGGCCAAGTTTGGCATCCCAATATAATCCATCTTTTAATCTTTTTATCTTTTTTTCATCACATCATCTCTCTACTTTTCTGCACATCTTTTCGTAAAAAATACGCTTATTTAGATCATCTCAAACAATCCTTAGCGTTAATACCGTTGAAGGGAGAGCTCTTCAAACACGCCATAAAGCTCCGTTTGGTTGCTGAGAAAAAGTGAGGGAAAATAAAAGAAAGTTACAATCTTGACATTTACATCCGTATTGATTGTGTTTTAGTCCATCCTGAAATCCCTACTCAATAGCATCAGGCAACCACAGGGCTAGAAAGCGGAAAGAGCGCAGAATAGAATATAGTGGATACATCATCTTCTTTTCTTTTATTTTAATTTCTACAGACGAAGAAGATCCGAAGATCACATGCTCTCAAAGCTACCCACTAACCTTCCACCTCATCTGAATCTAAAGATCATCAAGAAATTCACTTATAATGGGGATTTAGGACGTGCACGCCAGTTGTTTGACACAATTTCTGAACCAGATTTGCTTTCATGGACTGTCTTAATAGATGCATACACAAAGCATGGTTTCCCAAAGGAAGCAATAAAACTCTATGCGGAATTTCATAAAAGGAATGTCCAACCGGATAAGTTGCTACTTTTATCTGTTGCCAAGGCATGCTCTGCTTCAATGGATATTAACAAAGCAAAAAAGATTCACGAAGACTCAATCAAATTTGGGTTTGGATCAGATCTTCTTCTGGGTAATGCCTTGATTGATATGTATGGTAAATGCAGATACTCGGAAGGTGCGATAAAAGTTTTTGCTTGTTTGCGAGTAAAAGATGTGATTTCATGGACTTCTATTGCTTCTTGTTATGTGAACTGTGGGCTGCCAAGGGAGGCTCTTCGGTCCTTTCGTGAGATGGGTTTACGTGGTGTGAGACCCAATTCAATTACACTTTCTTCCATTCTTCCGGCCTGCTCAGAGTTGAAGGATTTGAGTTCTGGTAGAGAGATTCACGGTTTTGTTGTGAGAAACGGATTGGGGGACAATGTATTTGTGAGTAGTGCTCTTGTAAACATGTATGCTAGTTGTTTGAGCATCACACAAGCGCAGTTGGTATTTGAAAACATGTCTCAACGTGACATTGTCTCCTGGAACGCGATAATAACAGCATATTTTTTAAACAGAGAATGTGAGAAGGCTCTTTGTCTATTCCACCGAATGAGAACTGGAGGGGCCAAGTTGAACCGTGCTTCCTGGAATGCTGTTATTGGTGGGTGTATGCAAAATAATCGACCCAGAGAAGCACAAGAGATGCTCGCCCAAATGCAAGATTTGGGATTCAAACCTAATCAAATCACGATTACTACTTTGTTACCTGCCTGCACAACTTTAGAAAGCTTGAGAGGAGGCAAGGAGATTCATGGGTATGTATTTAGGCATTGGTTTTTTGATGATGTAACAGCCACAACTGCTCTGGTTCTCATGTATGCTAAATGTGGCAACTTGGAACTTGCTCATAGCGTTTTTAATATGATGCCCAGAAGGGATGCTATTGCTTGGAGCACAATGATTTTTGCAAACTCAATGCATGGGAACGGTGAGGAAGCCTTGTCACTATTTCATAGAATGTTAAACTCAGGAATCAAACCCAATGCTATGACTTTTACTGGTGTTTTGTCTGGTTGTAGCCATTCACGACTTGTTGATGAAGCTTTCTCAATTTTTCACTCGATGAGTAGGGACCACTTGATTGAACCTGATGCCGAGCACTATTCATGCATGGTTGATGTACTAAGTCGAGCTGGTTGCCTAGAAGAGGCATATGAGTTCATCCAAAAAATGCCTATAGAACCAAAACCTGGCGCTTGGGGAGCCATGCTTGGTGCTTGTAGAGTATATAAGAATGTTGATTTGGGACGGCTTGCAGCAAAGCGATTGTTTGAGATTGAACCAAACAACCCTGGAAACTATGTTCTATTGTCCAACATCTTTGTTTCTGCCAAATTATGGGGTGAGGCCTCAGAGACTAGGAAACTAATGAGAGACAGAGGAATTACAAAAATACCTGGTTGTAGTTGGGTGCAAGTGAGAAATAAAGTACACACTTTTGTTGTTGGTGATAAAAGGAATGATCAAAGCGATAAGATTTACAGATTTTTGGATGAATTGGGTGAGAAGATGCGATTAGCAGGGTATATGCCTAATACTGAGTTTGTTTTGCAAGATGTGGATCAAGAGGAGAAAGAAGATCTTTTGTGCAATCATAGTGAAAAACTTGCTGTTGCTTTTGGGATACTTAATTTGAATGGGGGTTCATCAATTCGGGTATTTAAGAACTTGAGGATATGTGGAGACTGTCATAATGCTATCAAGTTCATTGCCAAGATTGTGGGTGTGCAGATTATTGTGAGAGATTCTCTGAGGTTTCACCATTTCAAGGATGGGATTTGTTCCTGTCAAGATTTTTGGTGACCACTAGATCTATTTTACAGGGAGTTGTGATACAGGGAGAGATCGAGTCAAGTGACATGATATAGATGATGCTCAGGGCGATGTGCATGATCAGGATTGCCATATCTGAAAGCGCACATAGACTTGTCTATGTTTTCGAGTCTCTGTAAAATGAGCTTTTCTGGGGACAAGACAATTAGTAGATCAAAGTGGAGCTGGAACGTGGGGAAGGGGTGGAAAACCAAAAATTTTCCTTAATCATGGAACAGTAGCTGAAGACAGAGCCGAGATGGTGGTGGATTACAAAACATGATTATACCCTGTTGACTAGACTCTGGAAGGCGTCCACATGCTATGTAACTTTTAACATATACAATCGAACACCAAGGTACACAACATTGCAAACAGATTTAGAATAAAATGATGATGCCAATTCCTTTATCATGATAAGTTGTTAAACAGTGTGTGCTATTGAGATTGCCCTTAACAAGAGAGTCCATATATTGGTTGTACTTCTTATTTAATGTTTATTGAACATTTTGTACTTTGTACAAAAAACTATTGCAGCTTGTTTAAAATGTTTAATTTTGCCTTTGAACTATCTTTTTCACAAGTAACATATTTATAATATTGCATGTAATGCCTAATTATTCAAAACTCTGAAAGGCTCATCATCAGCAACCATCCTACTATCTGGGATATCCACACAAGCCGTCTGGTAACACATCAATGATATGAAACCTTAATTTGGAGAGAGCTTGGGATACTCTCAACTCTCAGTGGCTTAAACATGAGCAAGTTGATGACATTGCAAATTTGCAACAATGATTTGCAGCTCGAACAGTGCTGGCATGGTGTTTATCAAGTCTCGGGAATACAATCAGCTAACCTCATCTAAAAAAAGACTTGAAATTTAGAACATTATCATAAGAAGCCATGATAATATACAAGAACAACAATAATCTCATTGTTTGTCCAACCGGGTTACAGTAATTTCAAGAAGACTTCAACTTATCACAAAATCTGAAATACATCAAAATTAAAAAATAAAAATAAAAACCCCCATCACTCCAGTTGAGCATACCAGACTCCTTGGATCTTCACTTCCTTTGGAACCTTTGCCCCCAAATCGGTGTCAGATGGCTGAATACTCTCGAACACTCCAATCACCTCCCCTGTTTCAGGCTTGCTATTTGTGACGCCCAAGGTGATTTTCCCTGTTGACGATGCAGTGTTCTTTATGTTCTCCTTAACAAGCTCTTCTTCATCCCCTCTCCCTCCTGCTGGCAGTGCAACTGCACTGTCATAACCAGTAGAGCCACCTCTTCCCTTTGGGTCCAAGAAAGACGAACCACGGTATGATGGCACCAAAAACTGCCCACCAAAGCTCTCTGGCTTACCAGATGCCACCAGCTGTTTGATGGTGAAGAGGAAGGGCACACGCTCGCCACCTGGCAGTTGAACAGTGACAGCAGCGTAGTCAATTCCATCTTTCTCCTCGAACTTAACAGAGCCATCAGGAGATACTTCGAAGGGTCCCTCAATCTCATCGAGGGTGTAGGTTAAACGGGTCATGAGCTTGGTTCTTTGGAACTCAGGTGGGGCGTTCTTGCTAACACTATCGGCCTTGACAGTGAATGATGTGGGTTCCAAGCAAAATTTCTTCATTTGGTATTTGCCTGGCTTGAAGGCAAATTTGTCAACACCACCTTCAATGGTTGGGCACTGGTTAGCAGTCCCAGTTCCTTTCACTTCTAGGTATGTCTTGCTCTGAATTTCGTCAAAGGTTAGCCGTTTTGGGGGACCCTCTGCACTTGCTCCCTAGATTGTCCAAGAAATGCAGATGTTAGTATCTTTCCCCCAACAATGGAAATGAAGACAAAATAAACAATAAGGAAAGGAGTGAAAGCAATGAAGCAATGACAGAAACTATATCAGTAGTTAAACTTAAATCAGCATTAACACTAATTAGCACAGTGGCCATACTCATTGTCTTAAAAAATGCTAAAAACTAAAACTGATGGGGGGGGAAAATGAACGGGCATTAACCATTCCCTTCTTATGCATCTTAAAGAACTGAAATTCTTTTCTCTTGCCGTGGTGCACAGAATGAGTAATGCTATATAAACAGGCATTTTTATACAGAATGATGTGTCTATGAGCGCTGCTTTTATTTTTAGCCAAAACATTCATCGTTGTGGTTTACGATTTTTAAATTACCACTGTCACATTATCCTCGACAAAATTTTGTATAAGAATTTTGTTTATATAGTACCTAGTATAAATGAAATGAGATTATGTAGATGCAGAATGAACAAATCCTTAACAAATGCATCAATAAAGCATGAAAGTCGCAAGAAAACTTTTGCCTCTAGACTTGATAGATTAATTTGCTAGGAAGGAAACTTTTGAGAAGTGTGATAATTGTTAATCGGGATCCATAGAGATAAGAAGTTGCTAGGAAGGTAACTTTTGCCTCTAGGCTTGATGGATTAAGTTTAGATGGTTTAGATAAAGAATAAAGAACAAGTGTCTAATACTTCCCGCATACGATGACCCAGAGCATAGACTTGACCCGAGAGAATCCTAGTTTCCTAATGACCATGTTAGTATTTTGGAAACATCCAGTCCAAAACTAAGTTACCATGAGTGAAGGGGCGTCTAGACTACATAGATCAATCACATAGATAAAACTTGTGTGACTTAAATAGACGATGTAAGACGAGTCTATAACTATTCTGCTCAGTTCAAACAATCTCAATAGCAGCAATTCCACAACTGGTTGGATTAATTACAGTCCAAGATATAAAAATCCAAACAATTGCAACCAAAGCCAAAGTGCTGAACAAGAGTGACCTCTTAGTAGCTTAAATGATAAAAGCTTACAAAACAATAAGATTATAAAAACATCTCCAATATGAATTTTGAAACAGAACAATATGAAACAGTGCATGAAACTAATTGAAGTGCATCATACCGAGACAACGAGGGCAGAAGTGGCGAGAGCGAACCCAGCAACCTTGGCAGCGTCAGCACACTTGTGAGCCAAGTCCTTGATATCAGACAGTTGAAGAGAGCAAGTAAGCCTCCCACTGCTCTGCTCAACTCCGAATGCCTTGCAAACGCTCTGAGAAGACCTCAGCTGCACGGTGGTCCTGCCGCCGAGCTTGGTGGGCTGCATGAGCGTCGCCGCTGCTTGTAGTGAGGCAGCCATTGTTTCCTACTCTCTCTCTCTCTCTCTCTCGCTTTTCAGTTGGAACCTCCTTGGGAAGACTATAGGAATGGGTTGTGTGGAGATGAAAGGTGGGACAAAATTGGTTTTTGGTGGTGAGTAAGATAAGGGGATAGGATAAGGTGTTCTTTCACTGGTTGGTTGGAGCTACTGCTTCTGGTTTCATGTTTTGACACGTGTCAAACATGGAATTTGGGATAAAGATAATCTCCATAATGGTTTTGGTTTGGGTCTTGGTTTTGGTTTGGGGGTACCAATCAACTAAGGCCCGTTTGTTTTAGGTGTAATGGATGGGAGGAGATTAGGATAGAAATGTGATTATTTAGTATGTGTTTATTTGTAGAATTAGGGAAGAGATTAGGATGGAGGAGGGGATATAGATGGAGGTTGAAAGGGGGATTGGGATGGATGAGGTGGAGGTGATATTAGAAAAATAGTGAGGGATTAGAAATTTTTTTATTTTTTATATATTGGGATTTTTTTAAAAAATATTAATGTTTGATTTTTTATATTTTTTTATTTATTTTATTATTTTATACAAAAATAATTTAACAATTCCTAACCTAACAACTATCATCAAAACAAATATAATTTTATTTAATCCCCTCACTATTAATCTTTTCACTAACAATCCCCTCACTATTAATCCTCTCACTATAAATCTCATCCATTCTACCTTTGAAAACAAACGGAGCCTAAGTTCTAATCTATTTGCACTAGGAAAATTTGGGTTTAGACCAATGGGCCAGTTTTTGGAAAGTGGGTTAAAAATTACTTTTGAATGTTTAATCCATTTTGAGGCCTCATTTGGGAATAGGTTTTTTTTAATAATTTTTGACTTTTTAGTTAAAATATGATGTAAAAAAATTAGGCCAAGTTTGGCATGATTGAAAAAAGACAAAAAGTCAAAAAGTCACTATCTTATTTAAGTCACATCATCTTATTTAAGTCACATCACCTCTCTAACACATCACTTCAAACCCAACCCAAACTCAACCTATATTTCATAAAAAGTCAAAAACTGCACTTATTTAGTCTTCCCTAACTAGGCCTTAGTATGTTTAAGATGACTTTTTAATTTTTTACGAAAATATCTACAAAAAGTAGAAATAAAATGAAATCTTTAATTTTTGGGTATAAGTTGTTGACTTTTTGCTTTTTTTTTTATAATTTTTTGACTTTTTTACTAAAATCACCACTTGCTAAACGAGACTTGAGTTACATTATCACTTACATTTTTTACACATTTTTTCAAAAAAAAAAGTCGAAAAATTAACTTTTAACTATTTTCTGAAAACACCTCTCTTACTTTCCTCAACCTTTTTTTTTCATTTTTTCATTTTTTTTAAAATTTATATTTAAAACAAATTTCAGTCGAGCATTGTTAAGACATATTAATATTAGTTGATGGCTCTCTATTTCCCAAAAAAAATAAAAATAAATAATTATTAAAATGTTAAGATTTTATTTATTTATTTTTACTTCTTACATTCAATTTACAAAAAAATTACAATACCATGTAACTTATAGGATAAATTACGGATGACTCTTTTTTCACGCAACATTTATTCTCTGTGTATATACTTAATGAATAAATTTTATATTTACCACTAAATTTTATCTTTGGAAGGAGAGGAGAGACCACGCTTTTAGGTTTTGTTTGGCATATAATAAATAAGTCCATCTTTTTATTTTATTTTTTTAATCTTTTTTAGGTTATATCAATTAACATCTCTTCTCTATTTTTCTACACAAATAAAATTAGTAATATAGACATGATCACACATATTTAACTTCAAATTTAAATTTTCTCAATACACAACTTTGCAATTAAAAAATTCTCACTACACATCCATTAGAAATGTAAAATTAAACACACTAACCATAGTGTTATTCTCCATTATTTTTCACTCAACCTTTTAAAATTCACATCTTCTAAAAGTCTTCATATTCCAAGTCTATTGTCACCCAACCCTCTCATTAGTTTAGTATTTAAATCATTTGTCATTGTTATAGAGGATTTGAAATACGGGTGAGCAGCGATATACCGATCCGTTCAAACCGACTGAACCAAATCGATCTGCCACATTTTGGACGGATGCATGATGACGAGCGGATGGTTGCGGATTGATTTTTTTCAATTCGCCTAGTTTTGGACGGATGGTGAATTTGAGGTTCCTTTTACTGCAACCGAACCGCCAAACCGCGAGCGCTCCTAGTAATTTATAAAATTTTGTATTTTCAATTTGTTTAAGTATTCTATTTGTGTTTTCAATTGAAAAAGAATTTAAATATTTTGTTGAATATATTCTGTTGAAAAAGAATTTTCAGCTTGAATATATTTTTTGAATTGAAAAAAATTAATATATTATTTATCTATATTTTTTGGTTTTTAAATCTAACTCTAAAAATAATAAATAAAAAAGATGATATATGTTGGTTGATTTTTGTTTTCAAAAACCGATATAGATGTAACAATACAGATACATATAACCTCTACTACTGCTCTGTTCATGATTTTGGTAGTTTGAATTGTTTTTATATTTTAAGAACCACAAATTATAGTACTTTATATGGATGAAACATGCTGTGATTGTAATATGTGTATGAGATATACAGTGACTATAATATTTTTTGAAGTCATTGATTGTAATATATATTTTATTTTTGAAGAAGTGCACAAGTTGAATTATGTTAAAAATTTATAAAATTTTAAATCGCTAAACCAATTCGCATTTATCCACCAATCCGTCAAATCGCTCAATCCACATCTGCCAGATTGGCGGACGAATATGGATTGATTTTTTTCAATCCGCCAATTTGGCAAACAGATGCCGAATTGGAAGTTTTGTGGCCACAATCGACCCGTGCCCACCCCTAATCTGAAAGATAAAAATTTAGATTGTAATATAAAAATCATTCTTCACGACAAAATTGACGATAAAAACAAGAGTTCTTATTTATTTATTTTGTTTTGTCAACATTGTAGAATTTCTTTGGTGAAGTAAAAAACAGCTACTAGACATAGGGACATTCATCATTTCTTAACAATACCATCAGCCACACAAAGAGTTGTGCCCCCACAAACAAAAATTGAATATAGTTTATACTCCTTCCCAATAATACTATATCTTTAACATGTATCTTAACAATGGAGCTTCATTCTCTAAGGTTTATGATTTTGTACGGAACAAAGCAACAATGGAGGTTTGATAGGGTTTATCATACGAAGGGATATCTTTATAACTGTGTGAGTTTGTAATAAGTGGATGTGTACACTTTCGATTTTTTCATTATGAAAGATATATTTGGAATAATAGTGAGTGTTTGTACGTGGAGTGAGCAAATTATAATTATTTTAGTGTGTGAATTGAAAGTAATGTGCACTAAGAATAAATGATATGTAGAAATAGAATTTCTCGATAAATTACACTTTGCTCTCTTACCTTTTGCACTAATTAATCCTTATACATGAAATTATGAAAGTCAATTCATACATTTCTAATTAAGTGTCAATGAGAGTAAGAGAAATAGACAGAAGATTGTATTACTATACAAAATAGAGTTATGTAATTTCAATTTCTACAAAATCCTAGTTCATCTTTTTAATTGTTCACAATCTACATTTTGATTTAACCAAATATAGTCATAATTTGATGTGAATTTTGAGACCAAATATTTGTAGGCAAGAAATAATGATAATTTTTCTCATTTACCCTAATTTCGTAGTTAAATACTTCTTACTGAGAGCGGAGTTTGCACCAAGCGAACGGGTCGAGCTAGTTGTGACTTGAGCCTTGCCGTTGGATTACGCGATCGAGTTAGCAGAGCGAAGGGCAGTTTGGCTTAGGTTCTAGATCATGCAGCTGAGTTAGCCCAAGGTCCGAAAGTTGGATCGGGCTAAGCCGAGCTAGATGAAACAATGGTCCAAGGCCGAGCAAGGTCAGCAGCAACAAACTGAGTTGGGCAAACCGAGCTAATTATTGAGCTTGACCTTGAAGGTCGGTCGGAATTGAGGCTAGAATTGACCGGGCTATGCCTAGCTCAGCCGGAATTGAAGCTAGAACTGACCAGGCTATGCCTAGCTTGGTGGAAATTGCCAAGTGGTCCAATTGGAGTGCGAGAAGAGAACCCCGCTAATGGTGTGCGTTAATACCGTTTGGTAGTTTGGCCAATGTTGTTTAGCAGTATTGACGGGTACACGTGTAAAGAATAGAGAGGGCAATACAACCACACGTCCAGGAAAGAACGAGCGGAATATCGCGTAGAGGCTATATAGACTGAGCGGCGCCTCCATACAAGAGGGCGGATTTTCTGGCAACCCAGGGCTTTATCTCTCTTTGGTCTTCTCTCTCTTTCTCTCCCAAAAAAGAGTGCTAACTTGATCGTTAGAGGGACTTTCCGACATCACACCCGCCGAGCAACTCACCGTCATTGTGTTCTCAAGTTATTTGGAGCGAAGCAAAGCTTGGACACGAGGAGTACGGACAACGACGAATATTTGCTCCCCGTACAATTGGTGCCGTCTGTGGGAATCTTTGACAGATAAAACCTTGTCCTCCAAGCTTTTTCGGTTATCTTTTATGGCGAACCACGACGACATTCCGCTGTCTGCTATCGACTGCATCATGCTAGAGTCCGTTCAACGCAGAGATGGCCTGTCTGCCATTCCGACAATGGCTGGTTTGGAGATCTCCAGGCAAAGACTTCCCAGAGATGCACGAGACAAGCGCACAAGGAGTTCTAGGCGCTCTGTCAGCCCAAAAAAGTGTCACCAACGGCGAGACTCACACTCAGTACTTGGAAGACAAGCTGAGAGACCAGGATACCATCATTAAGAAGATAGTGATAGAGATAGAGACCATGAAACGCCAGATGAAGGGAAATGCGTCCTTGGAGAGGGAAATGCGTCCTTGGAGTGGGAAACCATGATGAGCACGCCCGTTCTCGTCGTTCCAGCAGTCAGAATAAATGTCGCACCTTCACTCTCCGTCATGAGAAACTTCAGAATTGGAGACTACGTCGTGCCGACAGTGATATCTTGTACGTAGGACAACAGTTACCACCT